AAACTTTAAAATTAAAGATAATGTGGTACATATTGCATATTTTTTCACTTGTCCTCCTTTCAAATTAGCTCACGGGCTCTGAATACTCAGTTCGGGATTTTTATGTTTAAGGCTCATAATTATGCCAAAAATGATTATGATATTAACATTAAAGAAATTTTAAGATGGTGGATATCAGATCCGAAATAGAATATATATATATATATATATATATATATATATATATGAATATATATATGATCATTTATAAGAGATAAGTTATAAAACATAGCTTTTGCCAATTAATACAACTATAACTCATTTAACGTTCAATTCATTTCTGCAGTAACTAAACGCTATCATATATATACATTCATTATATACATACCTTAAATATTTTTGGCAATTAACTGTTTGAGATACAAAAATAAGAATTAAGCTACAACCAAAGTAATATTTTTACTAACTACTCTTCAAAATAAACTAACTTTCACAGATATCTACTTGCATTTATTTATTTTGATTATAGTATATCGTTTTGTGCCTGATCGCGACAGTGTAATAAAATTGGCAAAGGCAATCTAGTCTGCACTTGTTTTGTTAATCAAGTTGTTCGTTATTTTTAACAAGATTTTTCTTTTTGCTTAACTTGATGCATGTTTTACGGTATTCAAGTGTATTTCAGCATTTCTGATTGCACCTCACAATATCTTTGACACAATGATTTGTTTCTCAGCGTAACCAAAAAGCGACCTTTGTATCACGACTACCGTTATAAGTGGGTTGTTTATTACCACCGCCGTTTGCCATGAATAACAACAGATAACAAAACGAATAAACAAGACTTATCGAGCAAATCTGGATCACATCCAAACGGCCTATTATGTACTGGGCTAACGTGAGTGCAAAACTTACGTTTACCCATAAACTAGTTGATTATGTAATTTAACAGAATAGAGAAGTTAACTGTAAGTTTACACACGACGGCCCTTAAGCTTAGAGTACTCGGCTATGAACATTGTACAGCCTTTGGAAATTGACAATCGGTAATTTCGGTTATGTGTAGAGCGTTATCTCTATCGCACGAAGGACATCACATAAATAATGTGTGACAGAGATAGCGCTCTGTGCAACCGAAATTAATCGGTTGTCTCTTTCCAGAGACAATTAATGTGCAAACAAACGAATAGAAAATTTTACATTCATTACGACTTATCGTGATATAGTACTCGTAAGGTCGTAGTTAATACACTTTAATTTCAATTATGTTTGCGAGTTACGATTACCTCTACTAGTTCCGCCTACATTATCATGATAAGAGAAAAAATATTCTGCTTGTCAAACTAATGTGCACGTGAAATGACTGTTTATAGTTTTGAATGTGTTATAACTGTATATTCGAAACGTTTGAAAACATGAAACAAATCTGCGATAAAATCAGCATACATTTTTATGTAATATTAAAAAATGATGCAAGTTTTGTATTTTTACTATCTTGTGGTAATAGTGTTCGCATAAACTTCACAAACCATTATTAAGTAAACGCTAGACTATCCTATATAGTAGGATTATTAAGGACTAGTATTGCAGACCATATGGTTTTCCTTCTTTAGTAGACAATCCATATAATTTGTTAACGCTTTCAATTCCAAAAAGTCGTTTAGTTTTTTCAAACAGCCCTTTACAATCGAGTTTGTTTGAATAAAAATGCATTTAATTCCATATTTTCAACATAAACGATCTCTAATGTAATCTAAAAATTTTATCGTCCCTACCAACACAACTGGATGCCAGCCAAACTAATTCCAAACTTGCCTCATTTTATCAGGTTATTCTCAATTTTAAATTTAAAATACTTTAAGATAACACGTATTAGAAATAATAAAATAATCTGTTTATTCCAATAAAAACATCAAGTTTAAGGGTTCGAAAAGCTTTAATATTTATGACACAAGGACATCTCACTTGCATCCAAAATCTATATTGTAAATGATTGGCCGTGTAAGTTTATTTCAAACGTTATTGCAGCAAATTAGTCACAATTCTAAATTCTGAAGAAAAGTTAACATTCTATTGATATAACGGTATTCGGATTGGGAAAACGACTCCCAGTACCATCCCTGACAAGTACTGTAAACGCTAACAAACGAGTCACTTAAGGTTTTTCCTGCACAAGGGAAAAGAAACCAAGAGTTTTTAGAACTATCGCGGTTGTACAAAAAATGTACATTTACGTTAATTATTCATATTTCTTTATGTAGAAACAATGGGACTGAATGCTTACTATGAAGTCACTAACTATTTCGCTACTTTTTATTATAAACTTTAATGAGCTAGTGCACGGTATAACCAAAACTATAACCAACAGTTAACGACTTTCCTATGGTTAACTTTAGCCTTACTCGGTACATATTCCCGCCTGTTTATAAAATAATTACGGCCCACAATGGTGAAATAACAACAGGCGAAGGCATTAAGTCCCACTAAGTCCGACAATTAGGGCAATTGTTTGTGGAATAATTAATTGAGTAGTTTAATTGAATAGCCCGATATGCGCTTGGGCTTTTCACGTTAAGAATTGGGAGCGTTGGCCCCAAGCCAGATATAAATGACCGTGCAAAATGTGTATTTAAGTGGCCGCGGTAGCTACAACTTTATACATAATATACTGCTTATAGTAATTTATAAGTGTAACAGGGCCACGCAACAGTGTTCGTTATTGCACGAATGAGCAGATCCGTCCTGGTAAGTTCCACGACCCCAGAGAAGGCCGGCGTGAACTGGAAGTGTTATTACTTCTGCGTATCGTCTGGTGAGTGGGGTAGCCGTGGTCCACTTTATTCAAAAACAACGCATCTGCAACCCTACGGGTAGTGCCAATGACAATGGGCGACGGCTATTACTAAACATCAGGTGAAACACCAGCTTACTTGCTATGTACTCAAAAAAAATTCAAAGCAAAAAAAATTCAAATTCAATTCAAATTTCAGACATCTTTCAAACATAAACAGTGTTCGAAACGACATGTTTTGAAACCCAAACGTAATAATATCCGTAAAAGAGTTTAATTTAACACCTCAAGACTTTGTATAATGATAATTTATTTTAAAAGCAACAAACTTAATATTTTTTTTTTATTTCTACTTCACGTAATATCCTGAAAGAAACAAAGGGCTAATTTCCTTTCAATCAAGTTTTGTGGTGATAAAAAGTGATATACACAATTCAGATATTATGTTTGTTTTATATATTTATGATCATTGTAAAAGTCACTATTAGATATTGAACCAACGCTGATTACTTTTTAGTAACCTTAGATTAAATCTTAGGTGGGTATACATATTTAAATAGAAAATCTCGCAATTAAGTCTGGTGGACAGGTTAATGATATATCATTTCGTGTTAACAAAAATCACTGTTCTATGTCATATCACGGTTCTAATGATTAACTTCCCTAGTTTATTTGCTGATAATTATACACAGAGATAAGCGAAGTGATATCCTTCTAAAAACGCTCATGCTGAGTCATTCTTTTTTTTTTCTTATTTTTTCTTATTCTGCTTATCGTCTTAACTAATTACTTATTTACAACAAACTGATATTGTCTTCTAATATATCCATACAGTTATGGGGAAAAATTCTCACCTAGGTTTCATTGTTATTCACCGACACGCTAATGTCACTTGTTATGTTATTGAAGTTGCTGGCGTTAAAATTTTGATATCTTTCGGTTATCTAATATTTGATATGTGTAAAACAAATTTCTGGTTGTTTGATAGTATTTTTGTCAAATTTAATTAGAAAATTTGGTTCAATCTTTTCGATAATTATTATTCATACTTATTACGGAACATATTACAACGGATAATAAATTTATTTTATACGCTATTACATTTTTAAACTGAAGTTTTTAGAGTTCTAATGAGTTTCTGACTGTATTGATGCATGAATCGTAATGATAATATGCTTGTTAATAATAGTCCCTTAAGCGTATTAGGACATAGTTCAAAATTCGACCCCGCTGCGGACAGGCCGACTTCAAATATTTTCGAAATATTATTTTACCTTCACCGCTGAACGCGTGATAAGTCTAGACTTAAAATTGTAATTAACAATTTCATCGAAGCCACGCGGCGTCAGAACTTGAACTCAGGTTGGTCGAGTATATTGAATTATAAGCACCTGTTCTATTATATAATAAATAATATTTGATAAAATACATCTATTTTCTTTCTTTTTTTACGTTTATCTCTCAGGTCAATGTTGTACCCGGTACGGAGTACTGGCCCCAAAGGTCACCAGTCATGTTTTTAGAATAAATACGCAAGGAATCAACGATAGCATTAGTTATCGCTGTATAGGATAACTGAATTATTTCTTCTAAGAGAGTGTTAAAGTTATTATATTGACATTATAATTGTTCTGTTTAATTATATGTTACTTTATAGTTATTTTAAAATATGTCATGCCAGTGGAGTTCAATAAACAGTGTATGTTTGAGGACCTTGGGAACAGTTACATTGGCATTTATGCTAAATAAGTGACGAATATTTACGAAAACATTTATTTACTTTAATAATTTGTTCTGCATCTACCACTCCAGATGTTATAAACATTTAGTGAACACAAAATTATCGCTATTAAAACTTATCATAAGACTGTACTGAATATTCTCATAAACTTACTTATTTTTAGTGTTCCGTACCTTAGAACGTAAAAAAGGTAACCCTTATGAGATTACTCTCTTGTCGGTCTGTCTGTCCATGTGTGACCACCGATTTTCTCAGGAACGGGTGGATACAGGTGTTATACAGGCACTTTACGGAATTAACAAAACTGCTTAAAAACGGTATTTGTTTTTTTTCTTAATCACAAATGTCACGATGTATTCGAGTCATCATATCGGGAATAAAATATAGAAAAATAAAAAATAAAGAGTGATAATATCCATAACACTAAGTTATGAGACTCCGTAGAGCAGCTATTAAAAGAGGAAAACTTTCTAAATTTGAAGTTTACTATGATTTGAGAGTTGAGGTCTTGAAGTAGTAATCGGCGTTGTAGTCATACCAGTCTCGAACTTTCCCATCGTACCAGACGTATGCGCCTTTCAACGTGTCTGGAGCGTCGAGAACTAGGTACAGCGGGGTCTCGGCGGCCTGATCTGCGCTGTAGAAGCCAGCTCCCAGGGTCATGTCTGTACGCACCAGACCCGGATGCATCGAGTTTACAGAGATGTTCTTTTCTTCTAGTTTCTTCTGCTGCAGCATAGTTGCAGCGCTGAGCGCCACTTTCGCCACCCTGTAGGCTGCTACTGTGCCCTCATCGGCGATGTCTTCCCTCTTGAACGTGTCGTTCTTACAGCTATCCAAGAACCATTCGACGAACTCATTGATGTCATCCATAGTCAGGTTCTTGCTCGACAACCTCTCTATCCAATATTTGTTACGCACATTGGAGAGATGCCCGCAGTCGCTTGAAATGTTCAAGATCCTTCCGTTCTCCCTCACCAGCGGGAAGATGAATTCCTCCATCAACAGGATGCTCTTGTAATTGATTTCTACTATCCTCGTGTTCTCTTCGTAGGAGTTGTAAAAGTCAGCGCTGTTAGCCACGGCGGCATTGTTAATCAGGATGTCGATCCCGCCGTGCTTTTCCTGTATGTGATCTCTGAACCTTTTAACACTCTCCTTGTCTACCACGTCGAGCTGATGGTATTCTGGTTCCAACCCGAGCTTTTTTAACTTAGCGATCGCAGCATTACCTCTGCCTTCGTCTCTCGAAGTCAAATACACAACCCCGTCGAACTGCCGGCAGAGGCCTTTGACAATGGAAAAACCGATCCCCTTATTTGAGCCGGTAACTACTGCAACTTTGTTCGACATGACTGCACTTGATACTCGATAAACGGTTACTGAGTATAAAATCTAACAACTTGTGCATTTGTGCGCCTTACTCTGCATTATATAATGAACGACGCCACGATAAAAGGTGGGGGAAAACGTCTTATCACTATATTTTTCTTATAAGTTCATTAGCTAATAGTGTTTCTTTTCGACTTCTTGTCAACAAAGCCTTTAGGCAAATTAAAAATAAAATCATACTGACTGGTGCATTTATTGTGAAATGAGAGATAATATATAATAGTATTATGCATATATTAGGATGTTTGTCGTTTGTATTGTGTATTAAAAATAAGAAAAAACTCTTTCCTGCGTCATGTTCTTCATGCAGGCACTCAACGGCAATTGAGTTTTATAATGTACAACATTGGATATGAACATTCTTTTTTTGATTAGGTTCAGCTTTATAGATCGAATATTAATTTATGTTTATTTTTTACACATAAATATGACATAATATAAAGCTTCACTTATCTACTCTTTATTGTATATAAATGCCTAGGTTTAACTGTAGTCTAAATAATAAGATTGCAAGTAGTAGGTTGGATTGCTAGACGGTTAAAGTATTAGACTGATCTCCAAACAAAATGTATCTTATCTGTGTATCCATCCACCTGCAATTAATAGCTAAAAAAAAGTTTAATATAAAATATTCACTTATAAATAAAAATTATATTGCAGTATTTAGAAATAAATGTTGTAACCTCGTCATAAAAACCATGTTTACTTCTTTATGATATATTGAATAATATAGATATAAATAGTTAGTTTTGAAATGAACTGAGAATCTTCGAAGTAAAACACATCTGTTCACAAGAAAGCGTGCAATTTCCATTTCGATTTTATTTCCTCCTCGCACCTAAATCCATCGGATCTCTTACGTTCTTTTGAGAAGAATTGAATACTATCAGTTTCTATAAGTTGCCAGCATCCTTACGATGGGATTGCTTAAGTATATACTTATTGTCGAAACCTCTTCCGGATATCTTTTTTTTTCTTTTTAACATTTAACTCGTGGATACTTATTTCAACTTTTAGTTTGTTACGGCTTTCATTGCTCTTATAAAAGGATTAATGAACCAACTCCTTTAAAAAAAACTTATATTATAATAAACTAATGTTATCAAGCCATACATAAATTTAATAAATAGCGAAACCTTAGTGCTTTATGATTTAATTTAGATGTATTCAACATTTTGCAACTTATAACTAAATCTGTGCATATTTATAACAGTTGGTTATAAATATGCAAGGATTTTGTTTTTAAAATTGTTTGATGACGTACGTCGACAATTAAATAATTTTTTTACATTAATAAAACGTAGTATGCCATAAGTATTGAATTAAACTCGTAAAAAAATAAAATCATTTGTTCGATACAACATTTACAATACTTTTGAATAAGTTTTATTTTTTTAAGTTTTCTGGCGCGTTTAGAAAAAAAAATTACCATGTGCACGAACACTAACAATGACAAAATGAATTTGTTTGCAAAGTGACCGAGTTCAAGGTAGTATCATGGTAATAAAAAAACTTTTTGAAATTCCAAGTGATTTAATTAAACCGTTATGAATAATTGTATTTATTTATTTATTTATTAATGTACACCAATGTATTGTATTTAATTTATATGTCACAATCAAAGAATATTGGTGCAGGGATAAAAAATTTTAGTTTGTCTTTTTTTAAGCTAAAGAAGTAAGTATATCGTCTTACATGCGTACGTAAATACACATTATTTTTATAATTATTCAATATTTTCTTTAATGAATTAAAAAATAAACCATTCTACTAGTTCACACAAATAGTGATCTGTTTTTCAAGTCGACGAGGACGTTAGTCCTCGTTAACTTGAAAAACAGAAACTCATCTGTTCCCAGTCCCCAAGATAAACTAAACAAGCACCGAGCTATCGTCTCAATTAAACTATTCAATTATTTACATGAAACTGTGATTGCATTATCAATAACGGCTTTGGACTACGTAGCTGTTTAGCTTATCTCAGCAAGTAATTATCAATGAGCAAATTAGCGTAACTTGTAAGACTATACTGTGTTGAGAAATGTATACTAGTGTTTGCACTCGGCCTTGCTCACATGTTTCCGTTCGTATGAGCATCGCTGCGGAATAGTATTAACAAACATACGTATTTTCAGAACAAACATCGCATCATCATCATCATTTCAGCCTGTTTGATTTCACTACTGAAGATAGACTTCACCCACAGACTGCCACAAAGCAGGAACCTGAGCCACCTGCATCCATACACTTTTCGCAATTATTTTAATACATCGCATAATCCTTACCAATATTATAAACGGGAAAGTTTGTATGTATGGATGGATGTTTGTTACTCTTACACGCAAATACTACTGAATGGATTCTAATGAAACTTTAAAATGATATAGTTTATACATCATAATAAGACATAGACTATAATTTATATACACATTTCGTCTTTCTGTCGAAATGTTACGCCTTCAGCCTATTCTATGCAGACGTAGTCGCGGGCAGCAGCTAGTTATGTTATATTTATAAAATGCATTGTATCTTAAAAGCATAGGCACAGAGATCGGCTCGTAACGTTGGTCGTAAGTTTATAAGCACGTTTTTAACTGTGTTCCGGCTCACCCCGAAAGTGTCACGACCTCACAGAATATATGCCCCGGCCTCAATACCGGCATATAGTGAAAACATTATAGTTTCGTGTATCGTTTGGATAGTGAAGTGAAGCAGCCGGGCCTACTTTTTGAATGTCAGAAACGCAACTGAAGCTCGTCAAATGTTTTTACTGACAACCCAATGAATTGCCAATATTCAAAATAAATAGAGCTCGAAATGTAAATAAGTCTTTCCATCAAGACAGAGATGGATAGCGTCATATACATTGCTACATTTAGGTGTATTAACTGATGGTTTTGCTTTCAGTCCCGAGACTATTAAAGCTTCATCTGACGACATTTAGGTTAAAAATGTGACTGCTTCCATTACGTGCAATTACTGCAAAATGATGTCATTAAACGATACTCTTTGGCGGCGTTATCGTCCATACTGGATTCGACCCACTGACGTCTAGGTCTGAACTACGACTAGATGCATTCATTCTATACAACGGTCTTTCTGTCCGCCCTATAAAGAATAGTATCTCATTGTACTAATCATGTGACAATTTGCACCAACGAAGCTACTATTATGACTTTATGTTATTAAACACGCATGTCTATTATATTCATAAAAACAGTAAGTCTGGGGCCAGAAACAAGACTCAGGAATTTGGACATTTATCTTTTTCTACTTCTTTTCTTTTTTGGCGGTTTTCAATAAATACGCCAATGGACATTTATCTTACACTCATTCCACTTGTTTGAACTAAGACCCTTTATTCCACCGTACCAGTATATCATGCCTTGAACTCGAGGCCGACTCACTATTGCTATACAGAAAATTAACTGTTAAGTAAAAATATTTGTTTTTCGTTAGACCAATAAGGCGAGATAATAAATAACTCGTTAGACCAATGAATCGAGCATGAGATAATTACAATCTTTAGAAATACCAATACCGATAAAGAAATAGTTATAAACAACATTCTTGTATTATGAAACTATTTTTCCATTTATTCATTGTTGACTTTTCAATGAACAACAACCATTATTTTTACTTTCATACCTCTCTCAATGATATGTTAATTTATTTATAACAGCAGCTAGCTCGATTACACGCATTTCGACAAGCATTGATACATATAAATGCAAAATTAAAATGAATTAACAGTACTAAGGTATACACCTTATGAATACAATACATTTTATAAATATAACATAACTAGCTGCTGCCCGCGACTACGTCTGCATAGAATAGGCTGAAGGCGTAACTTTCCGACAGAAAGACGAAATGTGTATATAAATTATAGTCTATGTCTTATTATGATGTATAAACTATATCATTTTAAAGTTTCATTAGAATCATATTACCATACGGTATATATTATAATGAAATTGTTAATTTTAGACGCCTAGTTATGACGTGCTCACTGGTGAACATTGTGGGGAAACCTGCATGTTTTCGATATATCAACAATAAAAATATTTCGAAAGATATGTGAAATCCGCCATCCCACAGTGGGGCCGCGTGGTAGACTATGGCCTATTGCCTTCTGCATAAAGGAGATATCTGCCCAGCAGTGGGACATATGTGCCTACATATGTCGTGATGTTACTTTACAAATCAATTCAAATCATCTTTACTTACTACTAAGATATTTGCAAAAAGCAATAAAAATACGAATGGCTTCTCGTACAAAAAGTCCTGTGCATATATGCGTAAAAAATTTGCTGATTCCATCCCTGAAAAATCCCACGAAACAAAAGTACTGCTTTTTTCTATATTTTTGTTATCCAATTCAATTCTTTTCAGTAATACTTTATGTATTGACACGACCACGGTTTTGTGGGTATTGGATCAATCTGTTGCGCCAGTGAGCGTAGGTCCGATCCCCACCACAGGAAGAATATTATATGATGAACATAGTTTTATTTATAGTTTCTGGGTGTTTATATTTCTATGATATGTGAAAAAGTATAAGGATGTTTATCAGTTACCATATCCGTACTACAAGCTTCCCTTGGTTTGACACTATTTAATTATTAAAACGTCCCATTAGTTCATCAGAAATAAATATATTTTAAAGTAAACAAAAAACTAAACTGAATAATCGCGACTAATTTTGTTTTCGTTTCCTTCTCGTAAGCGTATAAAAACGTTGATATCCCTTGATGAGTTGACTAGTGTCATGCATATTTCAGCTCATTTACCATGTATGACGGATTGGTACTAACTATTGTACTACTATGTTAGTGAAGACTGCTTATAATTTTTAAACGGTTTTATTTAGCTCGACCCGTACGGAATTTATTTGTTTATTTATTTGGGTCAAAATCAGAAATTGAAATTTAAGCACCTTCCCGTTGTCAGATTGATCT